TGTTTACTTTAAAAATAATTTAACACATTTTTCGTGTTGATATCAGTGTCATTGTTAACATGTTTTTTTAACAATTAAATAAATAATTGTATTTAATAACTGTTTGAAAAAATGTATACTTAAATTACATTTGTGATCTTCGAGGGGCGTGAGTTGGACATACAACTGTTAAGCTGCGTTAAGAATTTGATTCGTAAAATCGTAACGATGACAGAACCCACACGCACGATTTCACGTTTACCCATAGCCGAGAATCGAAATTGTATTATTATAATATTGATATGTCGTTATAAATGATGAGCACGAGACAAGTTTAGTAAATGTATAGATCGTAAAAATATTATTTATAGGCATTCTTGGGCGCGACTTTATGGCATAACGTTAATATTACCCTTATATAATATTATAACGACGGGCTTTTATGCCGTCAACTTTATCGTGGTTTATCTAAAGATTTTAGGCGTGCACCTACGACACTATTATAAATTATAATATAATAATTAATAATATATTTTAAAGTAATTTTATCTCGGAGACGTTATTTTATTTAAGGCAAAACCAGCGTGTACATAATTTAAACACCTATACCCACCTATATAATATAATAGGGCTATTTGTTTTTAATAACCCATTATAATATTCGACCGCTAATACTGTATAAGTAGGTCTGCGACGTACGAATAACTTGGTACACGATAATTGTGTGTAGTAAAATATGAGATACATTTTTTTTTTTTTTTTTTTAACGCGATTATTTATGTAAATCGATAAAGTTGTTGCATATCGAGTGTTACCTACCGTCTAAGATTTTCAAGTAATCGCTCGGCAAAGGCGGAGTAATAGTGGACTCGAGTGAATAGCTAATATCTCGCTTCTCCTGCGTTAAAATTAATCAATGAAACTTTTAACTTTCAAATGTTTGTCACATCGTTGCACCCACATCTCGTACCTATCGCTGAAGTATCAATGAACGATGTAATTATTAACGTGGGTCTTTTCGGTCCCGTTAATTGATTGGTTCTGTAAAACATTTATTTTTTTAACAATTTATTCTTTGTTGTCGTACTTGCTTGAAACACGTAAAACACATTTATAAATTATTGAAAAAAAAAAAAAAATTACAATAACCAATAAAATTTATCAATAGACGATTGCTCTTGATGTATATTTAATTTACCCACACAAAACTATAATAACCACTTAGATGTTGAGTGTAGTTAACCATAAGCAAAACAATAAATATGAATATCATGAGTTTTATTGTGTAAAAACATTAAATTACGACCGTACTAAACACTTAACACCAGTAACACCAATATAAAACATTAAATAAATATTACAAAGAACCTACACAGGTTTGTGAGGTATAAATAATATTGTTCATAATTTAAATACTTTTGAAAGTTGTATCTTGACTGGAAAATGTCGGTTTAAAAATTTCGAGTTTCTGATATATCAATAGTAAGTAATAGTTAATAATTAGAGGAGCTTCTTATTTATGGCTACAAAGAAAAATATATTGAATAACGACGAGGACATTTTATTAACATTGTTAAAAACAAACATGACTTATTTAATTTAAAAAAAATAACATTCAATTTTTATTAAGTGCAAAACATGAGTTATCTTGTTTATAGTAATTATATTAATTTGAAGGCAACCATAATATGTACTGAAAGACTTTAAAACAACCACAAATTTACACCTTAAAAAAAAAAAATCACTAAATAATAAATACAATAGTAAGTTTAGTAACCGTGACAAAACAAATTTGAGATCTAGTGTTGTGATGGTTTTCCCGATTTTTTTTTATACTCCATCTCTCTACTTTTCAAAATTATCGGAAAAAAACTAAATGTTATAATGGGAAATATCCAGGAAATCGGGAAAAGTTGGTACCTATAGGCTATAATTGACTTTTCAAGTTAATAGGTAACAATAATAGGCACATTTATTTCATACAATGCTACTTGCTCGTGTTATCTGTGGAAAAATAAATTACCAATAGTTGATACGAATCTTCTAGGTAATAAAGTATCATTCGAACAAAATAATAGTCTGACGCAGAAGTGCACCGTTTTCGATCAAAATCGTTTTTTATTATTTTTTCTACCTATACCTACAGCAGAGAGAATTCCCAGTTTGTTTTTTTTTTCTTTTACATTACACACTTACCAAGACCAACACTGAAGTGACTTTGTTACTCGGCAATATTTGATTTGCAGTCGACAAAATGAAACTAAAAGTAATTTAGTAGGTAGGTATAATTAACAAAATTTTGGAAATTTTAATTTTAATCAGCAATTTTGAAGACTAGGTACACCTCCCCACGATTTTTTTCTGAGATCGTTCCTGCCTATAATATACTAAGGCCGCTAAATACCTACAATACTAACACTTATTTTAAACAATATTTTTATACAGATTGTGTAATAAAATAAATAAATGTTAAAAAAAAAAAACATTATACACCAATATAATATTATAATCAACAAATAAATTGAGTGATACAAATCTTTTTAAAAACATAAATACCTATGATATGAATATTGATATAAAATAATGTAATAATCAGAGTAGTGGAAATTAACGACTTTGCGTAGGTTAGGTTAGGATGAATTTATTTTCTTCTGAATGCAAATTGCGTACCTACTATACTGATTTTATTCAAGACATTAACATATTCTAAATATTCCAAGTACAAAAATGCATTTCGCATAATGTTAGACGCTACAGCAAGTAAATGTTTAAACTAGTTTTTTTATTTTTAGAGGTTTGTCGGTTGATTAGGTACACATTAGTTATTAAAATTTAAAAAGATGCGTTTTATCAAATTTGTTATTGTACGGACAAGAAATACAATGTATAATAATAACTAACAACTACCATCACCTATTCGAATAATGCGATAGGTCACAGGCCACAGGTACATTATTTTTTTTTATGATATAAAACGTTTATTTTGCATAAATCGCATTGTGTACTAGATAAATGTATTCATGGTGTACGGCAACAGAATATGACGTGATCGTGTGGTTTTTTTTTTATTTTAAATTCTATTTAATAGCACGTCATAGCAGTCTACAGTCGAAGTCTGTAGGTACTCTGTATGTTGTGATAACATGCGAGATAAACTTCCGATTTCTAATGGTTATAGCTTATAACGGTATTCCTTCAACACGTTATTGATTTACGTTTAATTCATTTTTAAGCAGTTAGCGTGTCTAACATAAAAACTGCGTCGAACGGATAAACAGTGAGAATTCCATTGTGATGACATACGAGTATAAATCTAAAATCAAATCGAATACATCTTTCATGTGTACATTTAATCTACACAAATTCTAACGTTTTAGTAAATTAATATGGTTCGGTACAAATTTGTTTTGACTTAAGCGCTTAACATTACCAAAGCTATCACCTTGATATTTTTAATTGATGCATTTAATCTTTTTCATAAGCAGTGATAACGTGTAACTTATTTTTGTTTTTTACTTTATCATGGGTATAATAATGTTAAGAATAAAAAATAATTTATAATAATTATTATTAAACATGATTTTTTTTTTTTTTTTAAATAAGTAGCCTTAACATTTCTGACTGGAGCAAACACTCCATTTGCATACAGGTTAATGTACCCCAGCCACAGCAGGGAGTTCAAAAGAATTATTAAAAAAAAAAAAAAAAAAAAACAGTCTATTAGTACTTGAAAATGTGCTATAAGTCTGTTTACGTCCTATAATATTATTGAATATCTTAAAATCAGTCTATAGGTTTGATAATTTATATAATACTTATTAGAATATTATATAGATAGAACACATACAATACATACAGATACCCAATAAAAGCACTTTCGGATGTATACACAATTTATTATGTAACATGTAATTAATTTTGATTTTAACAGTAACTTCATAATTTAGCTAATACCTATACCTAATACAACACATGATCTACCTTCTGTACAATTTAATCATACAAAAAATAAATGCATAATAAATAGGGAATAATGAAAACAATAAGTGCATTATTATAATAATTTTTGAAATATCTATTTTCGGTCCAAATTCTATGATGCTAAACTTAAAAAACATATATGTACACAATTCAATAATAATATTTTTATAAATTTAAACAACATAATCAACACCATTAATAGTTAACTAATAAATTTGAAACAGTCATATAATAATATTGAAACAAATTTCAAGATAAATTTTAGATTAAAAAAAAAAAATCTGTAACAATATTCTATTTACAATAAAAAAAAAAAAAATTAATAATAATTAACATTAACAATATTGATTAATAATATGAATATAATATAATATATGATAATATTAGTCATGTAAAAGTACCATACTTGTCTACAGCAATACATTAAAGCCTATGATATTTTCTATACAACGTAGCTCATCTAGACATTCTATATTACAATAATTATATTATTAATATATTTTTTTGCTGTTCAATTTTAATACATGAATATTTTATCCATATGTAATGTAAATACGATATGATTGATAAAAAAAAAAAAAAATTAATAACAATAATTAGGATGATTGATTTCATTAAATTAAATTTTCTTTTTTGAAAACATTTTTTATTTGTTAGTGCAAAACAATTCAGCAAACAAACACAAAGTGCTTTTAGTCAAACATAATAGATAGCTGCACCAAACTTATAACAAGCGACATTGCAAATCAACATTTAACATACAGAAGGGAATGTAAGCTAATTTTTTAAATATTAGAAAATACTAGATTAGGACATTTTATAACAAATCTGAAATTTGTAATCACCAAAAAAAAGTCAACCGTTAAATCTAGGTCCTTTTTATGATTTTCAATACTTGAATAACACTTAAACAAAATCATAAAGTTTTAAATATGCTGTGCAAATATAATGCCACATTATATTATATAGATCTCATTTCTCAAAATTTTAGTTTGTGTGAGGAATGAAATTATATACAAATAATATTCTAAATATACACCATACACGTTTTTTTTTTGTTATTTTTTATGAGAGTTGATTTAAAAAATAAGGAATTTAAAATTATGTACTTATTCATAAACAAAACTAACGCAAATCAGGAGTATCATTCACCAGTTTCTTAATGCGTAGTAATATTGTTGTGTACCATTGGTCCAACCGTGATATGGAATCGTAATCTTTAACAGCTTCAGTGAATCCATCAGCATTTTGCTCTTGAATGTGATTTAACAACACCTTAAAAAAAATAATAATAAATTTTAGGCAACTCTAAAGATTTTTTCTAACTTAAACTAAGTTTTATCATATATTTTCAATGTTGTCATATTTTCTGCTTTAGTTAATACACAGTCATTTTAGTATGTTATATATTGTAAACGTGAAAAAGGAATATACTAAAATACTTAATAATGTTCTTTGACAACTCTATAAAAATAGCAATAACAATCATTATACACATTTTTATTGTTTAAAACAACAACACAATAGATAGAATAAGTTTCTCAACTTTTTATAGAATATCCAAAAATTTCAAAAAATAATAGTTTTTAATAAATAAAATAAAATATCTAATAAATATTTACCAATTAAGACAATTCAATTTTATAAACTTGATAAATAATAATATAAATAGTTATAAAATATTAAATACATTTAATATAATAAGATTGTACTTTAAAATTTAAATTGATATGGAATATGATATATAGTATTTAGCTTGAACCAGCTAAATGATCAGTTATAATCATTAACAAAATACAAATTAAACTGTTATTATTTACCTGTAATAATTTGTATTCTCGGCTATCTTGGAATGCCGGGTATCGTTCAATGTATTGATTCATAGCCAGTTGAGCATTAAGCACATCAACACACAAATGACATAAAGCCGCTCGGAAATAATATTCTTTTGCGCTGTATTTCAACAAAGAACTGTCCAATGAAGTTCCAGCAACCTATAATGCAATAATATAAAATAATATAATATACAATATACATTTACAGATTGAAACCAAGTTTTATAAAAGCTATAATTATACCTCTTCATATATCTGAATGGCTCGATCATAGTCTTCCAGTTGAGCAGCATACTGTGCCACCTTAAGTTTGCATTTGTTAGCTGAACTCTTACTTTCTTCAGCCATAAAATAATCTGAGGCTTTTTCATAATTGGTTATAGCACGTTCTAGATCAACAGCTTCAGTCTCATACATTTCAGCTATATTTTGATGTTGTTTCGCAGCCATTGTAAAACGACCCATATCTGTATAGATGTCAATAGCTTTTTCCAAACACATTGCGGCTTCTATCGAAAAAAAAAAATGATCATTTTAATATTTTATGATTGCAGCAGTTGGACGAAAAATAAATACTTAGATAAATGAGAATAACAATTAGAGTATTATTGGTAATAGTGTAATACCTATGTAAAAATTATGAATTAACATTTTAATGCTCACATAAAAAATAAATAAAAATTATATACATTATACATATTATTTCATAAGAAGATCTAATTTTGTATGTGATTGTATACTTAAATATTTTTTTTTAAAGCTTTTATTTACGATAAAACATCTTTGGGGTAAGTATTGTGTAAATGACCACCCCCATGTGCTGATACCATTAATTTTTTTTTTAATAATTAGAGTATTTAGATAATATTCAACATAAGTAAATAAATAAAAAATAAATAGTTATATAATTTTACTTTTCTTAAATGAGTCACACAAATAAATTGAAAATAATTAAGTACTAGAAATTAAAGATATAATTGTACCGTTTGGATCAGTTTTTTTAAAGCAGTTAGCAGAGTCTACATAATTTGTGGCAGCATCATGTTTACGGCCCGATTTAGCATTGAGATCAGCAGCTAAAATAAATGCTCTACCAGCTTGTGACCACTTTTTCGCCATCTTAAATAAATTTGCAGCACGTTGGTAACAATCAATTGCATCTTCTACCTTAGAAACATTCCTAAACAAATAATTTTAAATATAACGGTTAGATTTATAATTAATACATTTGAATATAATATATATTTATACATAAAACTAATTTAAATATTAATTATAAATAGTTAGTTAAGCATTAAAAATATTGTTAGGAACATACTGTCCAAATTTTTTTTTCATTTTTCTAGAATCATAAGACAAATTATATAAATAAAATGTTTGAATTTACTTATATAATATATATTTTGGTATAGGTATACAAAGAGTTTTATATTTTCTAAACTTTAGAATACTAATTAGGTTAATCTCTGGATTTATCACTTTTTGTTTTTTTGTAAACAACTAAAAAAACCAATTATATTATTTGAATTACTTTCAATAATATGGTAATTTTCATTTTTCATTGCCTAATTATTGTTATATAATTCACAATGCTAATAAGCAAAATAAAAAAAAACTATGTAGGTAATAGAAATATGTTTTTTATACAATAACAGATTGACACTTTCAATTGAATTGATCTTTGATATTTAAATTATTTGTTTTATGAACCTACTAGATGAATTACCCGATTTCATTTGGGTACAGTTTTATAAAAAATTATACCACCAATTTAATTATTTATTGTAACACAATTTGTTATTTAATGATTTTTAATTTTTATATGCCATTTTTCTACTAATTGTAGTAACTCTTTTATTAATTACTATTTGATTTTTGTGAATAAAAAGAAGCACATGTAAGTCATCCCAAAACAATTAATAAAAATTAAAAAACTGAAACTACAAACTCTCCCTACCTCAAAAGATCTATTAATATAACTTTTATAGAAAACGGTTAAATAGTTTTAAAATATATATATAAAGCATAAAAATAAAGAAATAATTTAAATATAACATAACAAATATTAATATTTTAATGTAATTAAAATTAAAAAATCCAATTATAAAACACGTTTCAAATGAAAATTAACAATGTTAACAGAAAATAAGTTAATATCATAAGTAGTTTGAAATTCAAGATCATTAATACATAAATTCTAGTATTTCACATTAATTAATCAAAGGTTTGTTTTATGTAAACAAATACACAGAAAAGGGAGATGATATTCATTAATGTTTAATAACTATAAATAATTCAATTTTCCAAAATCAACGTTCTTAACTATAAATAATTAAAAAGGAAATCATTACAAAAGCATTCAGTATTCAAATGTAACACATTACACATAATAAGTCAAGTAATTATTTATCTATATTAGATAAATATTTTTCATCCTCAAAGCAAACCATTATTTTACATGTGGATTGAAAAAAAGTATACCTGTATAGCTGTATAACAAACTCATGAAAATTTTCTAATCATAAATTATCATTGGCGTAAAAGTTACGAAGTTGAAGTAAACAATTAACCCAACGTGTGATTTTCCTTCCATATAACTAAAAATTGTTAAGACATAAATTCCCAAAAAATAAAAAATACCTAATCACGAAGACCACTACCAAACAATTGGAAACTAATAACTGCTTGGAAATGTTTAATTATCTAGAATTGAGAAATGCGAACGAAAATTCACAATTAATATCGCTTTACGCATCCCTTCCACCACTTATACAAAAAAAACCAATACAGCACATACTCGTCGACAACTTTCCAAAACGGTTACGCCGTAAACTTATCAACTCGACCAACTAAAATCCCCACCCCGCCACCAACTACCAAAATCAAAAAAAAAGTTATGCAATCTACGAGCCCCGTCAACAATTTACATGAATATCTAACACACACCCAAATAACGAAGAAAACAATCCTTTTGACGAGTTGAGTTTCTTATCCGCTTCGGTTAACAGGGCCATTGCTTTTTCCTCGTTGCTTGACATGTCGACTATTGGACGGTCAGAAAAAATTAAAAATACACAGTCTTCCAACGACCTTATTGCTGTATTATGCTCGAAGGCAAGCAGTTATAGATATTTTACTTTTTTTAATCGCACGATTTTCACCACCGCGTAGATCGTGTAACGTTAAACTCCGAAAAACAAATCGATCGCTTTGTAGCAAATAATTGTTATGAACTACCAAACGACGACAAAATAAAATGCACTATATACAACACACCGAGCAGACACTGACTCACTGCAGCTGACTTTCTTCGACTAATATTGATAAAATAATTGCGTTTCAACGTCACAAGAGAGCGCTACTACTGATACGAGCTACAAACATATAGATCAGAGTAATAAAATTTTATATAGAGTAATAACACCACTGTATATGGTGTATGTGATATGCATAGACCATTGAACTCTATATGATAACTGGAATGCTCACCAAGCAGTGTGCGGTGGCCTTCGTTCGGTGCGTGGCCTCCAGCACAAATATCTGGATATCTCATCATCGTGTCTCATCTCTGAAATATCAATAAATAAATCAATATATCTATATCTCATATCAATAATAAATCACTATATCTGACTAGCACAATTAAAAGTACTACAAAATTCACCATTTTAAGTCTTAACCTGCAGTAGATACACACTATTTTAATTATTAAAAACTTTGAGAAACGCAGAAGGCAGAACAAAAGTCAAACGTTAAACGAACAACGAATTTAAATGTATTGTCAATCATATATAACTATGTGATAAAAAGATAGCAACACCATTCTTATCTGCTGTCTTTCTTACACGCTATCTCGGTATGTTTGTTAATGCTGT